GAAACTGTCATTTCAATGTGGTGCAGCTTTTTACCACATGAAATGCATCCACTCACAAAATGTCAAGAACAGGAAATACCGAATGTTTAACCGCTGGTTAAGGACTTCATGATAAATTATGTCAAAATAAAAATGTAGTTTTAACAAAAGGACAGAATTAAAGATCAAAAGGTCACAGATCCATTGAATAGTGTCTCATGTAAAAACACTAACTTCACTCATGGTTGCAGTGGCTCCCTCCCTCCCTCCCTCTGTTGTCTGGTGTCAGAGCTCATCTTATTGTTAGCAGGTGCTGGATTATATATATTTTTCTTTACAGAGAAAATGAAAATCTTTATTATCTTACATTGCCTTTTTAGCATGATATCAACGTGTGCTGCTTATTTACACATACACAGGTGACATTCTTCAAATTGAAAATGACAAACGACTTCTTTACTTCAATGTTAAAACTCGTGCAAACGGTCCTTGGCATTCAAGCGTGCTACAGTGCCCAATGTGCACCCAGTTGTGACAGTTTCAGTTTTAAGCCACAATAACACAGACGGCATTTGCTCATGCAGTCAGTCCCCAGGGACCGGAAAAGTGGTAAAAAGGGAAAGCTAATGGCTGCTTTCACTCCTCATGAGACCACCTGCAGGGCTGTTATTTGACTTATTGCACGACAGGCACAAGTGCAGCTTGAGCTAAGAGGCTCTGAGATGTGCACAGGAAGTGGCTGATAGAATATTGCATCCTTGCTGCATTCACTTCCTGCTTTGCAGAATCTTGAGAGCATGTCATTTTCTCACATTTCTTTTGTATTATTTGACTTCTCTAACCGCTTTTCACATAAATTAACTGTAAAACATTACTGCAGAGGGTTTTCAATGCTTGTACATATGTGTGGATCAGCAGAGAGAGAAACCCCCTCTGTTATTCTGTGCTCTACGTGACTCCTGTGGCACTGACAGAAATATTAAGCAGTCATATAGAACTGCTTTTCAACATCAATGTTTTAAAATATTCATGTCAGCAGAAAAGAATGTGGGGCAGAAACCAAGAGGAGTTGTGCCACGACTTGAGGAAGCGGAGGCCCTTCTTCACGCTGGCCCCGTCGACTGTTCTGATAGCAGCACACACTGACATGACCCTGTTTCAGATGACTTTCCTACTTAATGTCAGGTTTGCTCTGAAGGGACACAGCACCTATGGGACAACAAGGCCTAGATTTAATTTCTCCTGGGTTCTGTACAAAGAAAATCGAGACAAATTGCTCTTTAATTTTTAATCGGATGAGATGATGGTGGTGTTTGAAGTGTGTTGGTTATGAGATGATGATAAGTTCACCAATGTTGAGCACCTTCAAAAACAGTGTGGCTCATGGGAGGTAGGCAAATGAGCTTTGTCTAATGCAAATGAACTTGGTCCACAGCAAATAAACATGACATTTTTCTTTGCTGTAAAAGGTTCTTCATTGTGTTCGGAATCCTGCCTTCTGTTGATGGAACAAATTCCCACCGCACGTTTCTGCAGAATTATAGAGCTCATTTGAGTGTGTGTGCATGACACTGTGGGTCTACTCACAGGTGAACATGCATCATTGAAACCACAGGCAGTAAAATTATCTTCAAACCACTGCAGGTATTTCAGTCCCAGCGTAGACTGACTGCAGCCTGATAGTGAGCTCCAGTGACAGTGCATGCTGACTGTAATGTTTGCTTATGTCCTGGCAGGCTATCTTTATACTCCAGAGTAATGATGTCATGAGATTGTCATGGAAAGCTCTGTACCTGTCACCCATCGACTCACATGAGCTGGACAGGAGATGGTTGTGTTTACCTGCAGTATGAGAGCTGTTCATTAATGAAAATATCAATTATAATGGGCTCAGTTATGAGGCGATTGGGTTTGGTAAACCTATTTCCAGGAGTGTGCCTCACTTTGACCTTTATGTGTAGCACTTCACATGTTACCACCCACAGAGACATGCCACAAAACCAGAACTTGTGGATGAACTCTTGTGGCCACTGCTTCTAATTTTGTCCCTATCTGACAGTGGGAATAAATCATCTACGTCCAATTTCCCTAAGTTTCCCTAATATGGGTGTCAATTAGCGCAGGGGGGCTACTACAGCCACAGCTTTACAGCCTGCAAACTGGGCTGCCGCAGGCAACACAATGCATTAGCGCATGATGAGCTGTCAGAGAGGATTATTTCAGCCACGCCAGTCAGCAAAGGGGGTGGGTGCCGCTCTGCTGCACTAAAACGAGGAGAAAGAGTGGGCGGGAGACAGAGAAAGAGAGAGAAACACAGGGAAAGAGAAGAAAGTGTCCATTACACCGGGTGGATTTTTCCAGAGCACCGATGTTGGAACACTCTTCTGAGCTGGCTCTGGTGCAGAGTTTGTATGCCAACAGCATGCGCTGTCCCCCCTCTGCGGCTGGGATCTCTGTCAGGAATGAGGACCTGCCTATGAGGTACGTCGGGGTTGGCCCCTCACTCAAATCTGGGCTAGCTTTTGTGGAGCAGCCTGTATTTGGACTGCCTCTTTGTCTAGGCTGGATATTGTCATAGGATGTATTGTTTCCAGTGGAGGCATTCTTCCTGCTGTGATTGTGACTGTGGGAAGGGCAGAGGGGTAGGCTTCTCCTGGTGTCCCAATATATATATATATATATATACATACATACATATTTGGAATTCAAAAACCATGTGTTGAAATCTGTTGAATCAGGCTTTTCAAATCAATCCCATCTTCCTATGACACAAATAGTTCACAAGTGGTGCTTTAGTTTTTTTTAAATAAAAAAGAATCAATCACTTACATCTTACATTATTAAATGTACCTTCCTCTTCCCTTCAAAGTTCCACAGGGGCTCAGATGTTTGCATCCACAATAAAGAAAGAAGAAGAAGTGAATGTGTCAGTGATGCAGGTGTTTGTCTCTGGATTGCACAGGCCACTGAAAAACACAGTTTGATTAGATATCTACTGAAACCAGCCCGGGGCCGCAACAACAAATCATAATTACTATCTGTAAAAGAACAAGAAGAAACATTCATATCCACTGTGGAACTTGCATGAATTTAGGAGAACTGGTCATTGATAAGAGGTTGGTATCTCATGTGCTCAGTTCATCTTGACACAGTAGATTTCTTCTAGAAACCATGATATGATGATGTTCCCTCTCTCCATTTTCTCCATTTGTAGTTGGTCGCCATTCTGCAAACGCTGTCAGGAGAGGCAGAGCTCACACAAAGCGTGACTCCAAGTTGATGTTCAAAAATATACACAGCGTGACCCATTTGGGTTTTGACGCTGGCCTATTTTTATACTGCGCAGCTTGACATGAAAGGGTGCAAAATTTAAATGCAGGATAATGACGATTGACCCGCAGGACCCCGTCTCCACTGCACGAGGGGAAAATATTTGATGTAAACAACAAAAGCATGGTACGTGTGGGGGATTATGATAGGATTATGGTAGTAATAATCTCAGATTAGGAACAGTATTCGAAGGTGCCGGCAACTAGGTAACGGCCACTGGAATCCGCTCCAGTAAACATCTCTGAAGAAATGACAAGGAGATAGATGCCAAAATATGAAAATAAATTGTTGCAATGACATAATGCACTGCCCTGTATATATTGTATGTACCCATGAGGAAAACAGGGCAGCTATTTACAAGAATCCTGCTTTACTTCTTAACAAATCTATTCAAGAAGGTCCCCTGAGACCTAATTGAGTCAAAGGAAATATGTGGATGCTGAAGATGGGATGACATTATTGTATTTTTCCTCCATTTTAATGAAACCTGATTCTCCAGAGAGGTTTACACTTCCTTTTTATAGCATCCCCTCAAGCTAAATGGTAATGCATGTTGCATTGTGGGCTTGTCTGCATGTATATGGCAAAATAGGTCGCATAGCTCATTATGCATACAAACCTCTTTTAGTCACCATTTAATATAGAGCACACTCTGCGCCGATGCCAGGTTGCCTTGAAATTGCTATGGATACAAGGATTAAGTCGGATTTCGCAAATGGGATGTTTCTTAACACTCGCTATGAATAATATTTTTGGATTGTGCAGCTGCTGGAGCGGTAATGAATGGTTTGATAATTAGGCGAGTCCCCGCCACCACTACCACCCTGCCTCTCTGCTAAAGGCAAACAGTACTTGACAATGACCCCCCCCACACTCTACCTTTCCCCCCAAGTGTAGAGGCCTCGCCTGCAAGTCCAGCTCAACAAAAGGAGACATGGCTCCCGCTCCCCCAGGGCAACAGCAGCCATGCACAAAGGGGAACATGACCTCTGACCCTGGGGAGAAAGCAAGAAAAAGTGCATTTTAACCATCTCACTTTTTGTCTCACAAATAATAATAATCTCATTTATTCAAACAAAATGGTCAGGTGCCTAAATTAGATTGCTGGGGAAATATGTAAACAGGACCAACATAGTTAGTCTCTATGCCGATGACCTCATTACTATATATAATAGGAGTGGGACACTTTACAATGGGATGATGGCACATGTGGGTTTGTGAAAGACTAACAAGACACTAAGACAAATTGCAGTGAATAAATTGACTTTACCATCTTAGGGGCATTTTGTTTTCCTCAGTTTGACAGATAGCATAAAGTATCATTATACGATTGTCGATTATCGCAGAATCGCTGTATCGTGACATTAGGGTCATCGCTGTATCACATATCGCATCGTATCGTGAGTTCGGCCATGAACGATAAATGTCTCTCTAATCAGGAGGATAAGATCCCTGACTCATCCACAGGCTCACCTCCCTTCATAGTCAGGCTCTATTTCTCCTCATGTGCGTTTTGGTATTTGTCTGGAGATGGTGTAGGGGTCTTTATAAGGTTGTTGTGGTGATGCTGCAGGACTTTAAACATCAGAATCTGCAAAGAGATCGGCGTGGATGACCATGTGCAGGTCCCCGTGGAGACATTACAGTGAATTTACGTGGGAGTAGCAGCTCAGTGAGCAGCAGCAGCAGCGTGGATTCAGACTTTTGTTGGAGAGGCAGACCACGCCTCTGCTTTGCTGCAGCTCGCTGTGCAGAGTCACACTCGTGTCTCTGGGTTTATTTCAGCCGGGGGACGGAGAGAGGGAGAAATAAGGAGGAAGGAATAAAGGCGGATACCACCGGTGCACATACCCACTACCACCGCCGCCTCTCAGTGGCTCTCTCATGCAGTTTTGAGGAGGACACCCCCTCCCTCCCTGCACCTGTTCTGCCTCGTCTTCTCGCCGTCTCGCAGGAGTTGTCGAGCCGCTTGAGAGCGAGCGGAGCGCACGTCGCCTTTCATTGTTAGACAGACGGCGTTCAGAGCATGACTTCTGCGTTCAACATGGATTTCCACCCCCTGACGGAAAGTCGGTTAATGGCTTCGAGCGATTCGCTGTAAGTAACCCAACCACCGAGCTGTGCCGTGGAGGACAGGGTTTGTTTTTTTCGAGGGGAAGCTAAAACACACGCACGCAGGAGACAGTTCAGGGCGAGTTGGGAGTTAGCTAGCGTTAGCTTCACTGCCTAACCGGGATGCTAATGTTGCTAACGATACGCTACGCTCACCTGCGAGTTGGGGGTAGTTCGCTCAACTTACAAGATAACACATGTGGCCATGTTTGAAATCGACTTCATAATTATCACACAACCCACCGGGTTCGACCGAGCGCCCGCGGTGGGGCGAACTCGTGTTACTCGCAGAGGTTCCGGGGGGGGGAAACGCAGTTTGCACGGCGCCACAATAGTCAAGTGACATGTGCTTCCGGACATCACACATTTCGATATCGGGCTCAGAAAAAGCAGCATCGATTAGCTTTCAAACAGCAGCAGCCCGGGGTGTGTTATCATCGGTGCTGCTCGCACACAGCACCGCGGTGTTGTGTCGGTAGTTATTTACAAGTGGGCACGTTTACATCGGCGGCAAACGGTAGGTGTTACATTGGTGGGTAATGAGGGGTTTGAGATAGGAAGTGGCTTCAGGAGTTTCCGTGTTAACTTTGCCTGGAGTTTGTTTGTAATACACAACGTTACAGACTAAGCAGCAGTTTGTTTTTCTGCTTTATTTGCTTAAATCAACAGCATTAGTGGACCTGGTGTCAATGCATGCACGCACACACACACACACACACACACACACCGTCTGTGCTAGCTGCAGAACTAGCTCCCCTCGTTAGCCGCAGCTCTCGGGCACTGGTGCCCCCCCCCCTCCATGTTGAATGTGGAGTGCTTACTTAACGGCACCGAACACGTGGTTTCCTACATTATTGAGCCATTAATGGGAATCTTGTGACAGGGCATGTAAACAAGGGAGGAAAAGACCGAGCACAGAGGTCCATATTGTAGCCTGGGTCCTCTCAACATAACATCAGCTCGTCCTGGTTCACAATAACATTTACAAAACCCACTGCTCGCTTTTTACAAGATTGGTTGAAATTCAAATGTTTGCACTTTGACCACTTGTGACTTTTTTTCGTGCAGCAAAATGGATCCTTGGTCTCTCGTAAAAGTGATATTTAAACTATTCAGATTGTTGAACTAAAGTCATTCTAACCTGCCGTTTTTGTAAATTTGATCGATCTATAAAACTCACCAAACAGTGAAATATACCCAAGATGACCTCATTAAATATATTCTTTTATTTGACCTACAACTCCTAATTATTAACTTATATTTAATGTAGGATCAAGAAATGCAGCTTAATCTCAACCTCTGATGGTTGTATTCTTGCTTGAAATTGGACAACTACTTAAATTAACTAACTTTTTAATTGGGAGGATTCTTTTAAGTGACTGTAAATTGTGAAATGTGAAGGCTCATTTTCATTGTTTTAAAAAAACCTTTGAGACCAGACAGTTAATTATATCCGAAAATATATTTAAGAATAATACATTTTTAGTTGCATGCCTGCTTAATACCACAGTATGACATTTCGATTTCTTGTGGAAATGTATGATTGGTTTAAACATTATTTCAATAATATTTCACATGTTGAATTGTGTTTTCTGATAATATCTCGTGTGTAATTTGAAAACAGTGAGCTGGTGATAAGATCTTGCCCTTGCTGTATTTGATTGATTTATCCCTCTGATTGTTGACAGTGAGAGTGACTATCAGGGCTTTAGAGGGATCCTTTGGCAGCCAACACGGCCATAGTACTGTGTCAGTAAGCTAAGCGTCTCGGTGATCCCTTTTGTTGTGGCCGGGGAGCTGTTGATCTGTGTGAAGTGTAGGATCTTGGCACAGGGTCCGGGGGCTGCTCAGAACAGCTGTTCTCTTCCTTTGCTCTGAGGGTGGCGGTGGTGGGAGAGTGCCATACAACCAGATGTTGAAGGCCAAGAGTAGGAGGACTCTGATCTAGCCTGTCACCTGTTTCTCTGCCCCTGCTGCTAGCTTGGCGCGGCTATAATTACTAGACTGGCTGTCCTAGAACTGCAACATGCCTGGGAAGGCTCCTAATCATGTCCCCTATCTGCAAGTGTGGGGTGGTGTGATCGAAGGTTGAGCAAATTCTTTTGCAAACAAAATGATATTCTAGAACAGGGTTATGTAATACCAGATACACCCACGATGCCCATACATTTGTCAGTCCTACTTGACTGTTAAGTTATTAACCAATGTCAAGTCAGCAGGGGTATTTTGATGCAGCAAAATAATTAAGCCTGTGATTCTGAAATTGAATATCAGTTGCATCATGTTATCGAGATACTTCACTGACCATGTCAGTGTGCTTGTAAGTCTGTGGCTGCAGTTCACATGAGGTGGAATCAGCTGATTGGCTTTAAAAAAGGACCTTTTGAGTGGACATGTGAGGAGTGGCAGTAATGGATTAGGGCAGTTGGCCGGACCACCCCATTGCTAAAAAAATCCTAGGGGTAACACTGCATCATATTGAGCAGTGGGAGATCATAAAAGGAAAAAATGTGACACTCTCCTATGATGTAATGTCCAAGTTTTATGCGTCTGAAAATTTAATTGTAGATTTAATCTGAATCTAGATGCTTTATTGATCTGGAGGGAAATTTCACGGAATCATATTCACTGCTCACTTTTGTGGAATGTTGAGTGTTTTTATAGGAAGATGGGAATGATGGAGGGATTTTTGGACACAACCATAGAGACATATCCTATTTGTAGACATAAATTGAAAGCAAAAAATGATATGTTACGGGAGGGGGGTAGTGTATTATCGATCTTCTGCCTTTAGTAGGTTAGGCTAATGGATGATTAAGTCTGTGGTAAGCACACGCTGTTAAAGTAATACAGCCTAATTGCTGCTTTTAGTGGACTTTGACTCTTCATTTGAGAATCCTTGTTAAGGATGTTGGTGAGCTCCACCTGTACAGTTAAGTTCATGCTCCATCTAATGCTGACAGAGGTGTGAGCAGAGTTTATTTCATTGCATGTAGACTGTGGATATAAGCCTGCCATTGGGTGCCTATTCTAGGCTGCAGTCTCATTCCCTGTTGCTCTCCGGATACTGACTTTAAAATCCTGTCCTTTATGAGAAACAAGAGCAACCCCCAAGCTGGTAAACTTACATGCTAAAAATAGAAAGATTTGATGAAGATTGGGATCATGTATGGGGTTGGGCACTAACATGGTATCCCAGGGTATTTGAAAATAGCAGTGGTGTCCGTTTCATTACTGTCATGAAAGAATTTTGCTTCGTAATGTGCGCATGTATTTAAGAAATGCTGTGAGTGTCTCTCCAACGCCACTGTTTGTGTGGTGCAATATGCTATGAAAGTAGCATAGACAGTAGGTAGACTAGTTAAATTAGCTCGAAATGAATAATAACAAATGCAGACAATTCAGGCACATTGAAGTGAAGGAAACATTTTGGCTATTCCTAAAACCAAGGTGTGAAACGAACCTTGGCTTAAAGATTAAGGTCTGAACTGAGTTTCATTCGTGCAAATGCTCCACCTAAGTTCCCTCAACATTTTTTTTGCTGTCCATGACAATTGTAATTGGTTTAAAGAAATACAAGCAAGCCATAGCGGTTTTCCCCTTGCAGAATAATGGGTACAGTCAGGCCTATTTCCATACCGCTGTGGAGATGTGAGACTATATTGTTCGTTCACACAAGCTTTATTTTAGTAACGTCATCTATAATCACCAGGGACACTTGGTGTGATTATGGGCCTAATGGGGTGGACCTCGTCATCAGATGCTGTCCGTCTGTTAACATGCTGCCCATTCAGAGGCTGATTGAACATGTCTGTCTTCATCAGGAAAAATTCAACAATGAAATCAAGCCATATTGAGCTGAGTTGGAGTTAACACCAGGAGGAAAAACCTAAACAACTTATAATCAGAACCATAGTGTGCTGATTAGGGCAGACCACCATGTATAGAAATCAAGTAATGCATAGTCTTCTTTTCTCTCCTCAACTGATATCCATTCTTCATTATAATTTTTTCCCCAAAGCTAGGCCATGGGTCTCACTGAATCTTGCTCAAGGTTCCTACAGCAAATCAGTCTCCTTTTTTTCTGTGGCCAGTTTTCAAGTCACAACTTCAGGTCTAGTTTTTTCCAAACCCCTGAAACCTTATTCAACTTAACAAATACTGTTTGTGCTGTGAAGAAAATACATGGAGTTAGAAGAGAAAGCCTTTACATCGAGCGTGACAGATGTCAAAGATATTACCGAGGCATTAGAGTATTCTGTGTCTTGGTGAATCAGCTTATAAGGCCATTGGTTTCCTGAAAAAAGAAACATCTCGTTATCTTTTTGAGAGTACTACTAGCAAGCAGCTGTTTCATTTGACAGATTTCTTTCCCCGAAGCATTACATCTCCGTGTGATCTTTGACATTTTTTTAGCCCCAATAAAGCATGACAACAGTGTGCTGCTTGTTGCCAAAACGGTTCAAAGCAAAGAAGCAAGTTTCACTCTGTAACTCAAAACAGGAAGCGGCTCAGCAATGTGTAATTACCCTCAAAAAAGGCTTGTCTGATCAATATTTTAATTAAAGCAACATGTGATAATTTAACTGACATGTCATGTGCCATTGTATATTAAAAAGGCAACTGCCCACAAACAGTGAAGAGAATCAAGAAATTGTTTGCCATAAGCAGTGATGACATAACAAAATCACATGATGTGCTGTTGGTGTGACGCCTGGAGATTGAAGGATGAGTATCACGATGCTGAGCTTTCAAAATCCATGTACATTAGGAGACAAATTAGCTGGCTTTCTATTATGGGCACAGCAAAGGTGTCGCTGACATTCTTGCGCGGTCAGAGCTCAACAGGACAGACACATGGTTCAAATAAATCACCTGTTTTTATGGATGGTGCAACAGTAAGCATGCAACTGTCGTAGCTCCAAATGAGTCTTCAGCTGCTGCGGGGTGTCTCTGAGCATGATTAGCTGCCACCTCGCAGGGCTGTATGTGGAAGCTCAGAAAAAGGACTTCATCAATATTGTCTGTAGGCAGTCTGCCGGCTGCAGTAGGGAGTAGAATAGTGCTTTATTGACAGAATCAATCGTAGGTTTTTGGAGTTGGTACTGTCTGCAAACATGTCAAATGTTTAAGGTGAGTAAAGATGAATTTGTGGAGCCCAAAGCTTTGGGAAAAATTAAAAGGCACCACCTAAACACAGTTTCTACTGACCTCACTGAACCTGCTGTATTTCGAACAAAACTATGAATACTTTATACCTTTATACTTGCATAATGCTCTAATGCCATAATATTATACTTCTTAAACAGCTTGATACCGTAGCTCCACTGATAGATATTACTTCTTGTCTGCCACTGTCATCTTCCTGCTACCTAATAGCCGAACTAGTCATAGTTAATTTTTAGGTCTGTAAAATAATCACTTACTTGGCTTCATACCATTTCTTGTGCAGGCACCATATTTTCCTGAACTTTAGGATACATGGATTTTATAATCTTCAGAGTTGGGCTCGTCATTTTCCCTATTTTCTTAAAGTGTATTCCCCAAAATGAACCACATGTTTAATTCAAGAGCAGCAGCATTGACACCTTTTACTTTAACGGCTAAAAGTAGTGTCTTTTTACTTTTAACCATTCGGTCACTTTTCTCTTTCCTCGAGGTTCAACTCAATACAGCCAAGTGTGGAGTAGCTGCCTGTCTACTCTGTTAGCATTTTAGGCATGCAATTTAATTAAATGATTTTTGAATTGAGGTTCATTGTGGGATGTAAATTCATGACAGAAGTCGTTTAAGCTGTCGTTTTTAAAGGGATGGAATAGGTAGGCCAAAGAATTTATTATCACCTTCATTGAGGAGCTTTTTGTGTGTGTTTGTTTGTTAGCAGTATAATGCAAAAACTAATACTATTTTAAATGATTCCATAAAGAATTATTCATGAAATCAGGAATGTTTTGAGGACTAATATACATGAGTAATTTTGTGCAGCTCTGAATAAAAATCCAGATCTAGTGAATTTCAATGTGGTTTCACAAGAGGACTGTTGGTTCTCTGTGGAGTTATGCGCTCCGAATGCCGTTCTAGTTGCATTTACATTTGTTTTTAACCAAGGGGGCTGGGGCAAGTTAATGAATGTAAAAGTGGGTTTATTTTGAGACTTCATGTTTTTGATTGAATCCGGTTTTTCGAGTGAGATTTGCCGTTTTTACTGTGGGCACTCGGCAAAATGGCGTCGGGAGTGTCACTGGCAAAATGGGATAAATGGTCTCACTCAGTACTGTGGCCTTAGCAGATGTAGCCTTCTATCTGTCCCGAAGCATCTCTCTGACTCGGCCCATTGTGTTGTAGAGCAACGGTGAATAGTGTTCTCCAGCATGGGGGAACAATATGTGATTGTTCCCCTGCTGTGCTGAAGAAGCTGTAGGTTACTCTCTGTACCATCGCCAAAGCGCCTGAGGAGAAGATGTACCGCAAAATCGGTTTCTGCTAACCAGCGATTCTTGGAGGTTTCGAGCTCTGCTGTGCCTTTTTGTGTAGCTGTCGAAGCTACTGGGGGGAGGGGGCACTCACCCCTTTTTTGGTGGAGAGGCTTTTGTTTCAGTAGAGGGATTTTTCAGTTTAAATCATTATTTGAATGTATCGACGGCCTCCAGGAAAAAAAAGCTGAGGAAAGGAGTTGGATTAAAACAAGAACCCAAGTGTGATCTGTTAGTATGTCATTTAAGTCGCTCAAGGAGTTTGGTGTTTCTGCGGAACGACTGGGCTCAATTTGTAAGAGATGGATGGCTCGTGTCCAAAGGTCTGTGTGTTGTCTCTACAGTAGTGCATCTTTAGTGTTTTTTGTTTTTTTCCCACTGGACTGTGTACTATAGTCTCACTTTTTGTCTTATACTTGTGAACTGTGGTCTGTCTTGATCCTCTGTGGTACTTCACTGTGTAATAGAGTGATGCTTTATCTTTAAAATCCTTCACATGCATTAATATCTGTCGATGGCTACTGATGTGGCCTCTCTGTTTCCAGCGTTGTTACCGTTGTCAGGGAGTATTTATATGCTTGATTTTGTGTGAGACAAAGAGGCTGGTATTGATTGTCTGTCTAAAAGGGTTTCCTCAATGTTAAATGGCACGATTTAGTACTTTAAACATCTTCATCATTGCTCTACTACACACGGTCACCCAGATTGTTGCTCGATATGTTGACTATGCAATTCAGAGTGGTTTACACCATCCTTTACTGTGAACAATATATTGTTTCAGCATCTACTTGGGTTTAAACATTAAAATTATATAGATTGATTGCTCTAGAAACCATTGAAAAATGCCTATATAATGCTTTTTGGGTTTCCCTTTTTTGTGCTTGTAAAAGTTATAAAGCCAGTCCTTCTCTCTGCTCCCAAAGTGCTTCACATGCCTTGTATGCATACCTCTCTTTTTGCCGTAAATCACATTCAATATTAAGTGTACTGCAACTAGCGTCCTGGCTGGTTCAGCTTGAACTGGTGTGGTATGATGCCATTGTCACCGTGCCTACACCTTTTAGAGTTTACAGGTCATCAGGAAGTCTCTGTAAGGAGACCTGGGCTTTTTGGGAGGTCACACAAAAATTAAATGAAGAGACAGAGGGTAAAAAGAGGAGCTGTAGCAATGAGCTGTATGAAATTAATAATCCTTGTATTGAGCATTAGAGCATAGGAACATTTTCTCACCCCCAAATTAAAATTATGGACCTTAAGTGGCCATAATTTGGGCACTATGAGATGCATATAAACTATCAAAGCTTGGTGTTTTTTCACAAGACACAGTCTAACCCATACAATAATCAGTATAGCATGATTCAGTATGTTTTGGTCATTGGTTTCACACACTGACATTGACCAGTTCATCTCCTATTTGTTCAGCAAATGAGCTAAAAAAGTATCAAATGAATGAATGAATGATAAAGTGATTAACTGTCAAAGAATGGTTGTAGAATCTTAATTGGCTCATTCTAATGTTTACATTTTCTTGAGAATTAACTTGATTGTTGCAACAACAAATATATCCATTTATTTTGTAAACTAAACTGAAGAAACGAAAAGACTGAACTGTAGCAGAACCAGTTTTGTGTGTTTGTTATCTCCTAAGCCTCAGGGTAAAACCCAGAGAATTGGACACTGTGTTACGCGTAGTTTGCCTTTCACACATGCAAAACACAGCAGGAGGTTCTCTGCACAGACGCGATCACAACAGCATGAAATCCTCCGCATTATTCAGGCGAGAGATGGAGCAGCCGGGTGTGGCAGACAGAGACAGGAAGTGGCGTATTAACTTGGTTGTGTAGATCACATGAGTTTGTTTACAGCACCCCGACACTGTTGTCAGCTCTTATCACTACAAACTCTCTTGACATCTTTGTCTGTGTCTTCTACGTGTGTCATTAGTTTGTTTTCGATTTTTTTTTTTGCTTTTTGTTTTCTTCTTCTCCCTGAAGTTCTTGTGACTTGTTGACAATTTGTGAGTTATGAGTGGACTTGATGCAACACCACTGATTGACCCTGAAGAAATGAATTTTGTTTTATATTAACCACAGATGCCTTTTTGCTTGTTTCTCTTAGCAACGGCAGCAAGATGAATGGGTCAATGGAGCATTTGGACCAGCCAGACCCCGACTCCATCAAGATGTTTGTGGGACAGATTCCACGCTCCTGGTCAGAAACGGAACTGAAAGAGCTTTTTGAGCCCTACGGAGCTGTGCATCAGATCAACATCCTCCGTGATCGCACCCAGAATCCCCCTCAAAGCAAAGGTATAGTCAGTGAAAATGTTTTGCCTGTCATTTTTTTTTATATACCTATTAGATCAGTTGATTTGTTGGCTGGACATAAAATAAATTAAGTCACAACATTAATACCTTAGGAAATCTAGTTATTGGTTGCTTACCTGCCAAAGTGTCCAGAAGTACAGAAAAATGTAGTGCTACTTGCACCCTGTTATTGCCACATCATCTACCATCGCATTTCAGCAAATTCCCCTTAGGCAGTTTACAGCCTTACTTGTCTGCACACGCAACACAGCTATACTTGTGCTCACAGATGAGATGATTCAATAGTCTTTTTCTTTCAGGGTTAAATAAATAACACCCTTTTTCATAACCCTGCTTTACAGGGGAAAAAAATCATTTTACTTTGCATTTTTACAACTTTACTTTATTCTGTTTTAGAAGCAGTATGAAGGAAGTGTTACTCAGCTGCAATTTCCCATTAAGCTGTCCATCGATGGTCCCACCTTAGAAAAGGTGCTCGAGTTGAGCAATTCAGTTTAGGTTGCAATTAGAGGAGACTGAAGTGGAAGCCTGCTGTCTGCAGAGTGCTGCAAAGTGCCACTGGAAGTGCTCAGTCTCCTGTAGCTAACTGCAGGTGAATAAAGTAAACTGTTTCCCTGATGTAACTGTCCTGGGTTTACAACATCACCCAAATTTCAATTCCCTTGATGGTTGGATGACTCACTATGGCTAAAGGCACTAATCCACTCTTTGGCTTTCATGTGGTGTGGCCATGTTTGATGAACAAAGGTTTCATGGCCCTGAAATACCACACTCTCTGACCACCATTGAAGGTGTCCAGCCATTGCTTTTTAACGTTTGTCTAAAACCATTGGCTCTATTTAGCCCTTATCAGCCCCAGAGTCTAAAATTGTTGGGACAGTAAAGATGGTGACTGAGAGGGTGAATCCTGACTGGTTGAACAACCAGGTGAATCAATGATTTAACACAGCGAATAGTTTATCCTTATATTAAACCGGTCTGTGTGGCCAGCCTGATAAACATGAATGTCAGTGACTGACTGAGTTTGTAACAAAGTTGCATCATTCGTTAGTGTGCTGAGTGTTGGACTGTTCACATTAGCTGTAGCACTGATTCGTCTCGAATTGTTACGATTGCGTCGTCAACCGTAGCGGTTGGCCAATCCGACACTTTCAGCTCCGGTGTCAGTTGTTTGCCCAGTTCTTCGTGCCTGCAGAGAACTGCGTGCCAATTCCCGTCAGGGGAATGTGTACAGCTATAGCGCAAACTACCGGTGATACGCCGAATTAATACTAGCTGACAGCGCTGTCAGCAGCCCAGCAGGAGAGATGCTCAGCACTGCGGTAGGATTTTATAACTGAGCTGTGACCAAGATGCCAACTTAATATCTATATTAAAAAAAGTTCAAATATCTCTCCCGATGCAGCCCTATCCTAAATTTTTCCCTGTCTTCTATGCGTGTCACCAGCAAAAGAGAGACCAACAACAGCACTACTTCTGAGTCATGAGCCTTTCTGGCTTTTTAGTCTCCCTTTTTATCACTTACCTCTCATGCCTGCAAGCATTGGTTGCATCACAACGATTTACATAGATGTATGCAAAGATGGAGCTTGTGGTTCCTGGTTTATATCTGAATGTAGTTCCTCAGGTTTCCACTTCACTGTGGCTATTTGGCCAAAAAGAGCCTTTCATTTGTCAAAGCCCAGACAGCAACACACCTTGTGTTCATTTCCCACACCTGCATCAAGGCAGCACTTAGATCCACATGATCAGGCTTTTTTTATCCAAAAATGTACACATCTGACATCAAATAATCCTGAATGTGTTCAAAGGTAAACCAGAAAATCTCCCGGATACTTAATATGCAGTGTGTATATGAATATACAGCCAACACTGAGCAGTTCATTGGGAGGCTATGGAGTTCAAAGCCTCCTTTTTAAAGAAGAGCCCTCCCCTGATCTGTGTTGAGTGTCAGCTGTGATGGCCTATTGACATGTTAATGCAATGTTAATGTATTCTAATAGATAATCTGGCCTGATCACAGTGGTCTTTGGCTCTTCACGCCTGTGTGAGGTGAATTAGTTTCAGTGGCACCCCCGCGCACCCATCACTCACGTCTACCCAATGCTATCAGGCATGTGTTTATTTGCATGGCAGATAATACACCCTTCACCTGCTTTTTATGTCATCGATCTTGCTTTTGTTAGATTTGATCTTTGAAATTGCTGTAATCCCACTTCGGTTTTGGTTGGCTGTTTTTAGGTCGCATCTACTGCAGGTCATGAAAAAATCATCTGATAACTATCACGCCTCTCCGGATGGTTTATTTAGCTCTGGTAAATCGGAGGCAGGGCTAAGCGGCAGCAGAGAGAGAGAAACTCAGCTGGTTGAGAGAGAGAAGAGAGCAGCTCGATGCATATTAGAGTTCAGCCCTCCCTGCAGCCTGGGAGCTCCAGTAACAGCATAATACACACTATGTAGGTCAAAGACGCTGCAGTGCTCCACTTCCCCAGCCCAGTGAAACTGACAGGCTGGAACGCCACTGGCAGTCTACTGGGACGGAAGGATGAGAGGCTTTTTTTTTTTCCTCCCCCGCTCCTCTTTTTTTTTTTTTTTTCAACCCCCTCCCCCACCACCTCTTTCTTCCTCTTATTCCTCTTCCTTGCTCTTGCTTCTGCTCCTTCATGTTTCTTTGTGCTGTTTTTATGGCACTGATATGTATGTCGAGTGTGATTGGAGCCTTATGCAATGCGGCACGTCTCTCTATTGTGTTGGTGCTGTGCCCTGACTTGCCCAAGCTGTGTTGACCTGCGGACTGTGCAACCGTATGTCCTGACAGCTATCCAACCTTGTTGTCCTCTCTATGGCCAAGTGACAGAAAAGCCTCCAACAATCTCATTACTCCAGTGTCCTCGCTGCAAGCTACTACACGAGCGATCAAACTTTCGGCTTTTAAAAATATCCAGTCACATAACATGTGATATGCAGAGAGAATACTTTCATTTAGCTTCTTACCTGCTCTGCAGTAGTTGTTGTATTACATTTACTGCCTGTATGGGTTGTGTTTTAATGCTGCTTGCCTCCTTCCCCTCACCCATTGTTTTCAACTGTGATTTTTCTCCGCAGGATGCTGTTTTGTAACTTTTTATACAAGAAAGGCTGCACTGGAGGCCCAGAATGCACTGCACAACATAAAGACCTTAAGTGGGGTGAGTAAGCACAGTATGGGCAGTTGCTTGAGCCCCTCTACATCCCCAGTGCAGGCTGTGAGCCGGCTGATAATGAGCTCTCCACTCACCAAACGCCTGTATGGCCTGTGAAATATCTCAGCTTCCAATATTCAGTAAGACCACACCCAATACACACAGGTATCAGGAAAAGTGTGCCTGATCAGGCAAATGACCCAATCGCCACAAAGTGGAGCAAATTATTAATGCTTGTCTGCATGAATCACTGATGCACATCTACACGTCTATGTTTCCCAAATTCAGAGTTAAAAAGGAGGGTTGAAACCTTTTTTTTTATCAGTGGAACCTGGCGTGAGTGAGAACGATCTCTTAATTCCTCACCTGATTTATCTGGTGAGATTAAAACCCAGTCAACTGGAATAAGTGCAGTTGCTTGTTAAACCTTTACAAATCTGCAATGCCTATATACCATTCTAAATTACTTTCCTTGCAATCAGTTAAATCTATACCAAACAACTGGTGGTGTCGATTAAATCAATTGCTCAGTCTATTAGAAAAGCAGCCACAGTCGGTGAGGTTATAGGTAAATATTGAACCAGGTTGATAAATGTGTTTAGCAGGCTGAGTATACAGGCCCAGCGATCTTCACTGAAGGACTATCAATCAATCAGACGTTTCAAATATAGTGTGGTCAAACAGCTCAGCTCTTGAATCCAAATTCCCGCTCATTCCATTACTTGCATCGACTGCAGGTGACAGTTTGGTTCGCATGATAGTGGAGAAGCTTGTTTCCCTGTCCCTTTTTTTCCCTCTCCCTTCTGTGCTTCGCTCGCCTTCGTCTGTGACGCTAGCCAGTACCCATACCGAGCAGACCATCTGTCTGCTTCTCTTTAGTACTTGTCAAAAACAAACCCGCCACTTCTCATAAGTACAACCTGCTCAGGCATCTCTCAGCCAGATTTATTTCTTCTTTCTTGTCACGTGGCAGGTAAATGTGCTAAAAATATATTTGCTTGAAGTTGTGTGAATTGCCTTGGACAAAAGAGGCACATCTTTTAAAGATCCATTTTTTTTCACATAATGAACACGGCTTTAGAAGCGGCAACATGCTCAGAGACGTTAAGCGGACTTGAATGAGAATTTTCACAGCTCAGCATGTACATGTGTGTAATATGATGGTTTGTAGAGGGTCATGACAAAAGTATTGCATCAAAATCTGAAAAAATTCCCTGTTCATTAGAAACCAATACAGGAATAGCTCTCTGGTCAACCATCTCTGTGTAACCATTCTTAAGATGACAAGGGATGTTGACCGGAAGAATCGATAAAATCAATCACAGTTCTGTGCTACAGTGAGAAGTGAAATTAGATACTAGAGAATTTGATCCCTGCCATCAAGCTAGACACTCACAGTGGTGAGGGATGATGGTCTTGGAGTGAGAGAACAAAACAAGAAGCAGAGAGAAATGCTTGAAGATGGGGGGGTTAGTGTGAAGGTATGATATTGTAGTGATGAAGATAACAAAGCCCTGCATCTGCATGGTGTATAACGGTAACAGATTTGATGTTAACTATTCCTCTTCTCCTTCTTTTCCCCCAGATGCATCATCCTATCCAGATGAAACCTGCGGACAGTGAGAAAACAAGTGGTGAGTGAATTCCTCTGAAATGCATGGTGACACCAGCTGAAAGATTCTTAATCTTGAGGAAAAAATTAAGCCAAGAAAATAGTGAGATTTTAAAAAGAAAAATGAAGGCCTGAAAAGGATTTAGTTCGGGGAATGTGCTGCAATACACAATTCCTATATAGTGTTAAGGGTTAGGAGGATTTAAGGCTCTAAAAGACACAGAGGGTTGAGGGGTAGACCTCAACAGAGAATCCGTAGGACAGCACAAATGGATGATATAGTCATCAGTCTAGAGAAGTGGACACAGGGAAAACAAAGCTGCAAGTTGCAGAGATTTGCTCAAGATCCTGGCACATTTACTGAGTAGCAGAAAATGTGCCAGCACAATGAGGAGTGAGCTTGAACATGAAGAGAGGTGAAAGATTTTGTGCTTGATGTAACTGCTGCTTTCAAAGCTCCATAATTGTCTGCTACATTACTGAATAGCTGTTCTTTTTTTCTTTTTTTTATCCGTGTGCAGCGGTAGAAGACAGAAAACTCTTCATCGGAATGGTTTCAAAGAAATACGGCGAGAACGAGATCAGAATGATGTTCTCGTCTTTCGGCCAAATCGAAGAGTGCCGAATTCTCCGGGGACCAGATGGTCAGAGCAGAGGTAGGTGTAGGCCCTGTGTTCTTGGCTTTGCAGCCGCCACCTGCAGTTTAGCCAAGTACAAATTCTCATCAAGTATTTATACAGGCCCCTCCCCGCTTCTTCATTTGAACCCCCTCCGCCCCAAAATCAAGTGCTATTCACCTCCACTGGCACCCATTCCATCCCCACAGTCTTTCCCTCCCGTCACTGTGACACTCGGCCTCCGCATCTCACAGTGAAGGGCCGCTGCACTCGCTGTCCAGCACAATGGCCCGTCGCCATGGCAACCACTGGCTGCTGGTGTTCGTGGGCTCAGCTGGCAGGCGGCTCAGCTCCTCCTTTACCGCCTCCTTCATCACACTCTACAAAGGCTGGAATTAGCCTGTCGTCGCATCTCCTACATAATTCTCTGCTGCAGAAAAGCTCAGATAGCGGGCGGCTGCGGGCTCGCGTGTCAATGTGTATACGATAAAACCTCATGGCAGAGACGAGGAGCCATGAATTTTGGCTTTTTTACCGGTAAATGTACGCACCTCAACCACAATTTGAAAAGGACCATACATGTTTGCAGATTTTGCACATTTCAGCAAATCAAAAAACTTCCGATGTGTATTTATGTGTGCATTTTATGTGTATATAGTCACTGTTTCACCATGACACCACATAGTCAAGCCTCTCTGGGTGGCTATTTAATCCGTCGATCACTGTGCTCATGTGACACGTGTTACTGTTCTCCTTGTTGTGTACCTTCTCTGTGTGCTAACCAGTGAGGGTGGTTCTGTGTGCTTGGGAGTTGCCATTCTTTGTACTGTAATGTGTTTTTTTGGGGTTCATAACGAGTTGTCCAAACCTTTTGTCTTGTTTTGTTTCTTCTTGTCCCTCCCTCCCTCCTCTCCCCCCCCCTTCCTATTGTTCCCCCCCTACAGGCTGTGCGTTTGTCACATTTGCTACCAGGGCAATGGCACAGAATGCAATCAAAACCATGCATCACTCTCAGACTATGGAGGTACTGTACCCCTTAGCACCTATTTCTCACCCCTCCCCCTTTACATTCTGCTGCCCCCTTGTGTTTGAAAGATGAAGAACCTGTCCAAACAGATGGTTGCCATTCATCACAGAGCACAAGATATTTAAAAAAACACTTTTGTTAATTATAAAATCAAATTTTCATCTGCAAATCTCATCAAATAATACCTGAAGCATTGACTTGCACAAAGTGTTAAAAGGACATGAGAGGATATGACAAGAATTGCTGTCATCTCTAATTTTGGACTGGACTAAATGGATCTCATTTATTGATTCTGATAATAATTGAGAGCCTAGCCATCCGTCTGCCATAATCAGTCTATATTTTGGGCCACAGGGAAAATAGCCCACACCATCAAATATAGGTTAACAAAGAATTGCTTTAGACTGGAGCAGCCACCCGATTAGATTTCTTCAAAAACTGGGTCCATGTCCTGGTGAAGCCGATGGAGACTTGTGGAAGTGGAGCAGCAGTAATTTGACAGCTAGCAGGTCAGAGGCTCCCCAGTGAAGCATCAGGCCACATCTAATTAGGAGTCCAACCAAAAACATTACATTCCTCCTCTCATATAAAATGCTAGCCCCAGTGGTGGTACCGCCTATTCCCCCCACATCATAACCTACCCAATTTTCAGCTGCCATGGGAGGTGCTGCTGGTGCAGAAGCCATTTTCCCTGTCCAGCCTGGTCCCTGTTAAGCTCTCAAGTATCAAAATACTTATGCACCGCATGCCTCGTGTCCATACGTCTGTCTCTACCGTATGTGACTGTCTGTTTGCGAGATTGTGCGTACTGTAATGCATTTTTCTTGTTAGTGTCTGCTGACATATCTCTGTCTGTTTTAAATGTGTATTTTTTATATGTTGTCTCCATCTCTTGTCTGCTTGTCTGTGGACTCTGTTCAGCTTAAAGTGCTAAAAAGATTCACTGACTGCAGCATTGTTCTGTGCCCCTTTTGGAATGTGGCCTGGCTCAGCAATGCATGGCAGATGTCCTGTGTGTTAGTTTTGATATGACGATTGTCTTGAGGCATAGACGACACCCTCCTTTTTAAACATCCCTTGCAATGACTGTGTCTTTGCATTGGTAAATGAACTGATGAATTCTTCTGTGTGTTTCTGAACCGGTCTGACTCTCTATGTTTTCACTGCTCCAGGGCTGTTCCTCACCTTTGGTAGTGAAGTTTGCCGACACACAGAGAGATAAAGAGCAGAGGCGCCTGCAACAGCAGCTAGTACAGCAGATTCAACAACTCAACAACGCCTCCACCTGGGGAAACCTGGCTGGCCTGGGGACCCTCACACCACAGTACCTGGCTGTAAGTGTTACTCAAATATGCAACCCTGCTGAGCTTCACATGTTTACTCATGTATTATGGCACAGGTTGAGTTTCTTCAAAATGTTCTTAAATTGGACATATACTGACTTTTCACGAGACTCACAAAACACCAAGGTAGAAAAAACCCACAACTACTGCTAGACATTTAAACCAATACATACACTATAAGGCAATGAGTAATAATTGTGGTGCTTGAACCTTTTAATACATTTGTGTGGATGGAGTCAGATATAGTTTGTGTTGTTTGTAGTTTTAAGGTGTTTTGATGCATCACCTATTATTAACAGATGAAACCTATTATCTCATTTCATATCTAGTACATAAAAAGCACAAACAAGCTATAAAATACCTTCTAGTTTTAGGACCTGAATAGATTCATTGTCTCAGTTTGGGTTCTGCCTGAAGAAGCCTGGCATGTGACTTACATGTGGCTTCTCTGTATTGGGGCCTGTAAACATGTGATTCATAACTTAATCTGTTTGTTTACAGTCATGGAATTTTTGAAGGAAGCCGATGATATATATTAATTTATATAATGTATACTTTAATCTTAACAGACAGGAACTGATAATTAGCTATTTCATCAATCCAATTACAGCATACATTTTCAATAGGGAAAGATGTGAAAAATATTTGTAATTTGCTAATTTCTCAGTGTCAAAATATGGAAGTTAAAAACAAATCTTCTCCTAAATTGTTGGCGAGCCTTAAGGTAATTATCACCAATATAGTATTGTTCTGGGTTTGTTCCCTCATGGTTGATGCACTTATTGTAAGTCACTTAAAGCGTCGCCTAAGGTAATATAATCAGTACGTCAGTCAGATAAACTGCTCATTATGTATGTTGTAAAAGACTAGATTAAAGTCAATGTTAGGACATATTTTTTGTCTTCTTCCTGCCACAGATGTGCAGTATGCTCTAATGGCAACACAAAATTGTCAGTGATAAACTAGTTAATTTGGTAACCAAGACCTAATTGTGCATTGCCTGTCTGATTATTGATGTCTTTCTTTCTTTCTTTCTTTCTTTATCAACAGTTGCTCCAGCAGGCCACATCTACCAGTAATCAAAGCAGTTTCAATGGTATGCAGAGACTAGGAGGTTGGTTAATTCTTTCAGATTTTTTCAGACTTTGTTCTTAATCTGTTCGCTGTTGTCACAAGCAGACAATTATCATGTCACACACCATGTGACTTTTTAAATCATATTATTGAAATCAGTTCTGCTAGGTCAACATGACTTGTTAATTAAAAATCAATATATCTTGGAGGAAAAACTGTACGTTGCTTTAGAAATGTAACATTACAATAATAAAATTGGACTAGCAAGACCCCTTTGTTATTATAAGGGATAGTTAAGAAATGGAAAAATCAGTTTTCATTCATATCGGGTTCAATGAATACAATATGCTGTTCGGTTGTAAATAATGGACTACAGTTCCCCTCAGTTGTCTTCTAAAATAAATAATAATTTATTTTTCCAACAAATTTCCTACACATCCTTAATTCAGAGTTTATACTTTATGTTTTGCTTTAATCTTTTTTCAGTTTGTTTATACATCCAAAATGTAATGGAAGTCAAATGACAGAGACCCACGGTGTAAAAGTGGTATACTGTCAATAAAAATATTAGTACTAAAATATAAAATATCAAAGAAATGTGTAATTTTCTTGGAAAACAATAAGGTACTGTGCCCGACAGCCAGCCTTAGGTAAGACAATGTTAGCCTGAGCAATTTTCTGTGATTGAAAAATAATTTTGATGCTACAAACATCATCATTGAATTCAATATATCACATTAATTTGGATATAGCTAAACCATAATGGTAAAATTATCAACTTGAATTAAGTAATCCTGCTATAAATCCTGCAACTGACAATAACAATATTTTTATAATAAGTGTCAAATGTTTTCTCAACATGTGGTTGTTAAACACTTGTCTTATTAGCATTGTCATACAAAACCTTGACTGTATCTTTCTTCATTTGTTGCTTTGTAAGACAGAATAAACAGTAAATCTTAAACAGTAAAGAGTTATTCTGGAGTAGCTGGTTCCCTCCAAGTCTGTTAGGGAAGGTGTTTGTGTGCAGGAACATGAGCATACTGTAAAAGTGTAAGTCTTTGATAATCACCTCTGTTTGTTCGTCCTCTCAGCAGGTGTGAATCCCCTTCAGCTGCAGAACTTGGCCACAATAGCTGCGGCGGCGGCCGCAGCTCAGAACTCTGGCAGCCCGACTTCCGCCAACGCCCTGTCTGCAAGCGCTGGAGCCCTGGGAGCTCTGGGCAATCCAGGTAATTCATCACCTACTAGAGCTGAATTTATAGTATGTGCATGTGCTGTACATTCAGGGTTAAGCACCCAAGAGTTGAACCCTGTGGCAGCGTTGATGATCATTTGTTATTTCAGTTGGGTGAGATTGTTTATGAATGTGTTCTGCATCCAGAGCTTTTGACCTTGTTTATTTGCAATTGATACATTAACCTGTGTCTGTTTCCTTGGTTTATTGTCACATAACATTTAAATAAAAATTCCTCACCCATTGAGATATAACTGTCCTCAAGTCAGTGCTCCTGCTGCTGTTATGGTACCTACCAACTGCTCTTCAAACCTCCCTCATCCGCAGCGGTCATCAGCCATTCCTCATTGATTTTATGGGAGTTAATCACCCTCATATAAAGCTTTATGAGAGCCCCCATTTCCTTTTTAATCTGGAGCCAGTGTATATACATTTGCTCCATCTGTCTGAGTTTAGCATATTGCTGTTGTGCTAATGACCACTCCTCATTAAGAGACAGAATTTTAACTGCCCCTTCACTGCTGTTTCATTCTCTCGTGACTATAACAACTTGTGGCAAAGATGCCAGGGGTTTAAAGTGTTTTGAACAGGAGGTCATCACGTTTGTAGTAACCCATATTTCCTCTTTTTTTTGATTGTCTCAACAGCTGGTTCAACAGCAGTTTCCAGCGCTGGTGCTGCTATGAGCACCTTGGCATCTCTGAGCACCCTGCAGGGTCTCACTGGGACCTCTGTGGGCCTCAATAACCTTAACGCTCTCACCAGCGGCGTCGGTGGTGAGAATCTGCTTTATACTAAACAGATAAAAGCTACAGAATGTCACCTGAACACTTGTGCTAACCTGAAAGCTGCATTAAATGAGTGACTTGTCACTGCCTGGATGTGCAAGTAGGTAGTTGTTTGCCATGGGCATATTCAGATGGATGATGAAAAATTAAAAACTGTAGCATTTTCTATTCAACCTAAGGTTAAATGGCCAAAATGTTAACCTGGCTCAATATTTGCCATTTGTCATCTGATTGAAGGTGCTTGGTTGAGCATATATGTACAAGAGAACCTTCTTGGTGAATAACTAAAAACGTTTTCAGACACAACCTCCAGTGGGGGATTCCCTGCTGTGTTCACACAGCGTCTTCTCCTGGATTTCTACAGACATTATACTAGGAGGCCAGGCAGATAAAGTCAATAGAAACTGCAGGGCGTCTCACTCGGACACCTCCTCTGGAACTGCAGAGTCCAGTGAATGTCTGAGGGCAGCTTGAGAGAAATGCCTTTTTAGCAAGGCTGCTGACAAACTAGCTAATCCTGACACAGACTGGACAAACCATACTAAGTCCCTGTACAGACCTGGTATCAACTTCCGTCCTGAGAGATCTGATTACAAGAGGACAGCTCTAAGTTCATCTGTTCCCACCCATCATAAAATGTGTCCTCTGTGAACACTTGTGATCAGATCTCATTTCCCAGCTCTTTACGCAAATAACCATGCAGGGAGGAGAAGATGGAGGTGATGCTGTCTGTAGATCTACTATAAAAATAAAGATTTTACTAAATTCCCAAAAATCTATATATCATTATGCGGTGGTCAGTGTTGATGTGGTGCTGGTCACAAACCAATCATGATATGGGCACTGAGATACGTAAAATACGCACAACACATTTGGGTGCGTTCAGAACTGAACTTGGCACTTTTTCTGTCAGTCAGGGCAGATGTTGATACCAGGTCTGAACAGGGTCATAAAGACAAACTAGAATCTAGGTAATAAACACTGAAAGAGCATAAACCTTTGGACTTAGTAAATATACTTGACAAGTCATGGACGACAGGTCAGTAACAACTGGTGGTAGATGACCACACAGATTCTGCAAGAACACCAGCTGTTGTTTTTTGTTCTACTAAAACACACAAAACCAGCTGTGCTACAAAACAGAGAAGAACTTTGAGTTTTGGTGATATCCTGTGTTTCAGTCTGCCTTTAACCACAAAAGCCTTTTTGGTCGCCTTTCTATCTCATGTTGATTTACAAATATTTTCACACACATTCACAACACACAAGTGATGTCTATAGAATTAGATGTCAGTCCCAAATTGCAAAAAAATGAGAATAACAGACCAAAGATAAAAATCTTTACTCATCACACACTGTCTGAGTTTCTCTGCAGACTGAGACAAACTAATTCTACAGTCCTGTGTCCACTTCTTAAGTCATGACAACTTGAAGCTTATGTTTCTGAGTTTGTCTTTCTGCCCCCCTGTGGTCAAAACCATCCAATGCAGCTTTAGTACACATTAGACATTTTACAACTTGCCCCAAATATTTGAGTTGTGATTGTTTACACGACACATTAATTTAATGGTGTTTCACAGGTATGGCGGCCATGAACGGAGGCCTGGGAGCCTCAATGGCCAACGGGTCAGCAGCCAGCTCCATGGACGCTCTGACCCAGGCCTACTCAGGGATGCAGCAGTACACCGCCTCCGCTCTGCCCTCCCTCTACAGCCAGTCCCTACTGCAGCAGAGCATCGCTGGCAACCAGAAGGAAGGTGAGCAGATCCTCAGCACGTACCAACACACTCTGACATCCCATATTAACATTGGCTGCATGAACATATGTTTTCTACATAATTTGACTTGCATTGCAATAAACCTGTGCATGTGCCTTTTAAATGTAATCTAACTTGAGTGTTTGGTTTTCTTACCAAATGGAGTAGGGCCAGAGGGCGCCAACCTGTTCATCTACCACCTGCCCCAGGAGTTTGGGGACCAGGATCTCCTGCAGATGTTCATGCCTTTTGGAAACGTGGTCTCTGCCAAAGTCTTCATCGACAAACAGACCAATCTGAGCAAGTGCTTTGGTAAGATTTGGTGCCTCTGAACACCTACATATTATGACTGAGAATACCAGCCTGGAGCATTGTGTCATGGTGCCAAGATAAATGTCTGGATTTTTACAGGTGTCCTTTTTGAATAATGCAGTGACAGTATTAATGTAGTGCAAGCAACAGCCCTGCACATTTTCCTTAATAGTAGCAGTGTGTTCAAAGTGTGACACACAGCATTGAAGTATCACATCTCAGACATATTTTAAGACGTATTGAAATGTTTTTTTCCTACACTATCTGAGAAATCAGTTGTATCCATAACATTTTTTTGGTGTTTAGGGGGAATTTTAAAATAATGTTTGGTTGAGAGTGTATTTATGCTAAAACATGACGATGAGGAGTTCTACAAAAGTACACGCATCCACACTTGATAAACACTAGGACAGAGGTGGTGATAATGATATGACAAAAATCACGTCACAGGTAAAATAAATACTGTGTCTGTGGTGACATCGACTGGTGTGCCGACATGCTCGTCTTCTCATCACATGTTTGTAATGCCTCTTTTACCTTCATGTCCTCAGGGTTCGTCAGCTATGACAATCCTGTGTCTGCGCAGGCTGCCATCCAGGCCATGAATGGTTTCCAGATTGGAATGAAGAGGCTGAAGGTTCAGCTGAAGCGCTCCAAGAACGACAGCAAACCCTACTGATCCTAGCCCCGGGGCCTTACCCCCTCCCCAGCTCTAATGCTAGCACTGCTAGGGTAAGTTCACCCTCCAGCCAAGGTCACCACAGCAGAGACTCAGTGGGGCAGGGGGTAAAGGAGCCCACTACAGGAGGGAGACTTACCCTATTACTTAAAAATGGTTGCAATGATCGTTCCACTTTTTACTGTTTCATTCCTGCGGTTTTCTCATGTAATTTGAGTCTGATTAAATATTTTAATGTGTATGATTATTTATGACTATCACTGGAGTCAGTGTTCGCTGGAGGTATTTTGTGTCACTGTATTTTAGTGGAGAGCATCAGATGTGTTTCCATGCCATTTCATTGCCTTCAGGTCAAGTTTGACAGGTTGACTAAGGATCAGTTGTTGTGTTGAAGGGCTACAGCCCCCAGGCCATGTGGACCCCCGGGCCCAGAGCTTCAACCTGTGTTTGGCTTCTGTCTCATTTGTGTTGTGAACATTTCTTTCACTCTCAATCCTTCAGTCTTTGTCTCCTTCCCTCTATCTGTTGCTCACTCATTCTCTCCCCTCCCTGTCGTTTCATGTTCCAAGCCATGTGGAGCTAGGCTACCTCTGTCTCTCTATTAACAACCTCTTCCAGTCATTCCATCCATCCTCCACGTCTCTCACAAGGGACTGGCTCTAGATGGATCTCTTTGGGTGCCAAGTATACAGTTTGTGCATGTTGGAGTCTCTGCCCATGCGTCCCTGGTGGTGTCCCTTCCTTAAATCTGTGTATTGTTTTTGTGTGTCGGGAGAGATAGGGGTGGGGTCGTTTACTGCACTGTCCTTTACTGTATGTGGTGATTGTTTTTGTTGGTTTTTGTGCCTCATGGCTAAACGATTCTTGTGCCGTGCCCCTAACTTTCTCTTCTCCCCTCTTTGTCTCCTCTCTTTCTCTCCCTCTCTCTCTCTCTCTCCCTCCCTCTCTTCCTTTCGTGTTTTTGTTCCTTTTTTTTAGAACAAATCTCCATGCCTGTTTGCTCATCATTAGCCTAGCATGTCTTCATGATGTTGAAAGCCAAGCCAAACTCCTGGCCTCATCATCCCACCATTGTCTGTGATGTCTCTCTAAGCTCGCCTGACCAATACCTGGCCACCCACTGACCCTTGACCTTAGCTCAACCTGATTTGTTTTTTTCCTGCATGAATATTTTTTGTTTTTTCTCTGTATAGAAATGTGATAGATGGGAGGGAGGTCAAGCTAATCAATGTGAAAACTTACCTGCGTTTAATTCATTTAAGAGAACTTTTTGTGTTTGAGAATGTTTAAAAAAAAAAACAACCTGTGGGATTCCTTTTTTTAATTTAGCTTTTTTTTTTTCCTCTTTGTTTTTTTTAAGTTGCTTTCTTTTTACCTCTCAGTAAACTTCACTTGAAAGTTGAATACAGGGATTGGCACACAGCTGTGCTATTCGGTGCCATTAGCAATATGTTGGTTTAAAAAAAAAAATTAAAAAAAAACTTCAGACAACTTTCCAACACTTTTAAAAGTCTGACCAGTAAACCCCCTCTCAGTGCTCTGTGATGATCTCTACATTTTGCGAGCAGTGTGAAGATTTACACCAAGGCTATTTAAAAAAATATATTCTTTTCATTTGCAAAAAATATCCAGTGTATTTACCTTCTTTCTTTTGAACTATCAATGGCACAATAACAGGTACATTTGCTCTGTTTAGAGAAATGACTACCTACATGAGTCAACTTTTTTAGAACTGATTCACAAATAGACAATCTGTGGTTTAAATGCACACTTAGATTACCTATATTTTATACCATTGAATCTATAGAAGTTTAACTAACAGGACCCAGGCAAAACGTTGGGTTTTTTGTAGATTATGTTGTAATGTCATCTGTGTCGGGGGGGTTCTTCAGTGTATTACATTTATAAAGAGGACTAAATCAGTTGTAAAATCAGTGTGACCATTTAAGGGTCATTTCTAGTCAATTAAAAACACTGAGTTAATGATTCCTCTGCATTAATTGTAATTTGATTTTCTTGGGGCGGGGGAGTACTTTTTTTTTTAAATAGTCACATTTTTGAGTATGTAGGCAATTTTCTCCTGCATTTAAAGAAAACTTTAAAAAAGTGTTATTTTCCACGGTACATCTGGTTGACTGTGAATTTCTCGTTAATAATTTAATTAATGGATGTTTCACTTTGGTTTAGTTCGGATGCCTCATGTTGAAAGATGATTTACAATGTCTGTTAATCACACAGATGCCAGACATGTATTTTTTTTTTTCTTAGTTTTATTTTGTTGAAGTGCCCATGTGTCAAAACTCAGTGTTTTTGATTTCACACAAACTTTTTTCATGTAATATTTCCTGTTTTTTCCTAACACGCACACATGCACACTGCGACACACAAAAACACTTTCTGTCATTGCAAACGTGGGAGCCCCTGAAGGAAGAGATCACCCGGACACAACATGCGACCTGTGGGTCTCTGCACATTTTTTTTTAGACACACACACACACTTGCTTTTTATTTTAGTTTTTTGCTGATTATTCTTTTCATGTGTAATGTTTGAGTCATACACCACAGTATGCACAGCACATTAACCACTAAACCACTAAATCGACCACAAAAGTGTTGGTTTACAAATACATTCCATTTTTTTCAGCACAAAGTTTACAATTTTTTTTATTGGGGGGTGGTATTTTGTCTCTCTTACTACGATTCTGGTAAAATAACAACCACTTCAGTCCCTAAGGAAAGGGTTACCTAAAACTGCGTACCTGATGGCGCTTTAGAGTTGTCAACTCAGGGGTTTTTGTGTATGTGTGTGTGGGTGAAACTAAGACAAGATTTTACCACACAATGCACAATTGTCACATTTGTCCTTGTTTCAGTTTGGATTTTTTTCCTCTCAAAATACATAAATGTTCCAAAAAAGTAATAGAAAGGTACCAAATTTTAAACAGTGCTTGAGGAAAGTGTAGTTTTGTAAGGGAACGTTAAAGCACAATTTGTGGGAGCTAAATCACTTTTTGCAGAATGTTGTGTGTGTGATTATAATCCCAAAAATGTCACGGTACCACTGATTTCACTTTTGAATAATGGGCATGTGCTTTTTACAGTGTGTTTTTTCTATCCAAATGCAATACAATATTCAAAGTGCCATATATACGTCTATAGAAACTGCCTACACATCCTTATTAGGCCTTGGTTTAGAGATTGCTGCAGTTTGCCGTATCTTTTTGTCTATTTATGCCAGTGTCATTAAAGCTCTTGTCACCTGCTCATGTTCCCCCCTCGCCTCCCGCTCCTCCCCCACTCTGTGTGTTGAGTTACTGGTAATGTGTAATGTGATGTACTTCAATTTGAACAGTTGGTTTGAAGAACTTGTAGATAAAACAATAAACTTCCCTATACATTTGAAGGTCGAGTGTGAACACATGTATTTTGCGAAACTCAACGATTGGATGGTTTTTTGGGGGGGGG